CTTTACACGTTTTTCCTAAGAACAAAAATATCGTCAGAATCGCAATAGTTTTGCGCTTTTTTTTCTTCGATGATAGTTTGATGCTGTAGAGAGTGAGCTTATCGATCGATGTTAACAGAGAGGAAAGGACGAAGGACCAACCGGATAGAAACGGTGGAAATAATCGTTGTTGAATAATTCTAAGTTATTTGTTTAACGTAATAGCTGGCATGCAACGTAACCCGCGACTCTAGTACGGTACAATTGAGTACTAATAATAAAAAAACATGTCGTGCGTAGTGATAAAGAAGAATTGAATTCTTTATAAGTGGTGACGATACCTAAACGATTCGCGCGTATCACGCAGAGTAGCTACACTTGTGAGTATGTAGAGATATTGAAACAGCTGCGCTGTTCGCAATCGTGTCGAAATAACGGAGAAAAGAAAAACAAAAATTGTAAAGAGCGAAATGAAATTAGCCAAAGACAATAATAAATTTTAGACAGTCATAAAAATCTTTACAATCTATTTCCCTGTATATCCACACACTACTACATGTATTGAATTCTTTTTCGTCGTTTCTATTTTAGCTGTTACGCTTCGTGCAGATCTTTTACCTGATCTCGCGGATTAATCTGAGCCTCGTGATCATCCGTTACATCCACGTAATCATACTTACTATGGATATAAACTCGTTCACGTTACATTTCCATTCTTTCTTTCTTTCCTCGCTGAAAAGAGAGAGTTTGGCGAAAGAAAAAGAGGGTTTAGAGAATAGATCGTCGTCTCACACAACATTCATACCGTCTCGCAAAGGTTTCCTGTGAAACACTCACGCACCACGAAAACAAGTCTCGTTTATTTCGTGTCGATCGAATATGATGGAACTCGCGTGTGTGTTCGTTTTTGTCACTCTTTTGTTTTCTTCTCGTCAAAACGTTTCCTATTATTTCTTCATCATCTTCTTCTTCCTCCTTCTTTCTTCTTCTTCTTCTTCTTCTTCGTCGTCGTTTTCTTTACAAATCTCTTATTAGTCTCGCATAATATAATAAATAGTGTAATAAAATCGTTGAACATCGCAAATAGGGTTCGTCGACGACATCGTTCCACGTGAAAATCGTGCACTCGGTGTCGTCGTTGCCTTAATAAAAAAGTTCGCAAACATTTGTCTCGCACGGAGTAAAAAATACAAGGAATGAACTATCTGTCTGTAAATGCGATATCGATTGACTATCTTGTCGCCTTGTACTATGGTACTCTAAATGACATTAAAATACTTCAGTCAAAACAGCGCTCGAATGTGTCACAATTGAATAAACTTCCCATTCGATACTTATATTGACTCGTCGAGGTTTCGATTGGTTTTGCTTCTCTTTTTCTTTTTTTAATTTCTCAATGAATGAAGGAAAAGAGACTCGTGTTTCACACACGACAAATAGCAGTATCATCATCATCATCATCATCACACATGCTCGTATAAACTTGCACACAGAACCGGGGGAAGAGTAAGTGTCTTTCTTTTCTTTTTTTTTTACCAATTATACAATCCTATCTTTACAATTTATTTATGTATTGCCTTCTCGAGTAACGAGTAATTGATTGATATAGTATGGAAAAATAAAAACATACATGCACATCGAGTATCTGAATTATTTAGTATAAAGCAGGTGTCGTTTTGAATTAGCAGGAATAATCGTTGAAAATTATTGCCACTTTGTATACATTTAAACAACATTCCCGTATTTTACTGGGTCGAATTTTGCCCACGAAATCTCGAAGAGAGTATTTTCTTTTTTTCATATAAAGATCGATGCAAATGTGTTCAATTTTTGTTTTTGTTTAAGCGTACAATTCAAGTGAAACAATATAATACTTGCAACAGTTGTACAATATGCTTCATACTAATTAATTTTTCATAGCATGGAATAACACTTGATTACAGACGTATTGGCAGTCATAAGTTGTACTAATAAATCAGGAATTTTGCGAATATCATCTCGTATTACCGACAATTTTTGCTCCTTTACCTTATTTTCTTCGTTTCTTTTTCTCTTCATCGTGCTTTCGATTTTGCATGTCGAATAAATTTGATGTTCGTATACCCGTATAATTAAAAATACAGCCATATTACAACGTGACAATTATACATAAGACAGAAACCAAATTTCGTTAAAAAAAGAAATTCATAAGTGACGTGAAAAAAATCTGACAAAAATCGCAAAACACAACGTCGTCATCGTTAAGGTAAAGAAAAGAAGGTAGAACAAAAACGTGATCGATAAAACACAAATATATCAATCGAGTTAACGAGAATTCTCTTTTTTTCTTCTTCTTCTTTTCTTCTCAATCTACATGCACCCTGCGTTTAAAAAAGCACGCTTTTCTCGCCATCGTTATTTTTCATTCAAAATTTATATAGATCGCGTTATAGACATTCTCGAGTGATATTAAATACCACATGGAAATTCGATGGCCTTAAAAACTATCCTTTTTTATGTATAGCCATTACAAATTATACGATAGTTTAGATTCTTTATCCTCTATGACGCTTTATCAAAATTCGTCTATTAAATATATTTATATATATATACGTATCGCGGTGGTGTGCGCTATTTCCATCCACCTAATTTAAGGTCAGGTGGAAATATACCTTTAATTTCCTTCTGTCAACTCCTATTACCACCGTTACGTATACGTATTGCATTAACAAGTATCTTCACTTGCGCAGAAACTGGTACTCCAAAATACCCTCTTCATCTGGAAAAAAGAAACATTCGTCTTATGTTTCAATTGTCAAAGGGTAATTCTCTCTCACTCACACACTCACTCTCTCTCACTTAGCTGCACTAAAAGGACATACTATGGTGTGTCTGAGGGAATTACTCGACGATGATGTAATGAAAAATGATCGAGATAAAGGGGAGAGATTTACGATTGTATACGGGTGAAACGAAACTACGTGTTCGCCTTGGTAATATGATTTATGCAAGAGTAACTGCAAACTAATACATACGAGGCAGAAAGGTGGGTGTATTTTCTACAACTAGATCGTGTTCAAAAAAAAAAAATGCATTCACGTTTCTCTCTCTTTCTCTCTCTTTTTTCCTCTTTCGGTTCTTTGCAAAACACTTTCGGATGCTCGTACGATGCCTATATTTATACACTTCGAACAAGCAATTATATAGAGTGCAAGAATCTCAAGACAAGTTTCAAGAAGATGCACTTTCTCTCTCTCTCTCTCTCTCTCTCTCTCTCTCTCTCTCATCGTGTCAATGTTTTGGTTTAGCATCGATTCTGACGGAACCTAAGAGATAAGGGGAGAACTTTTTACCAAAAGTATAAAAACGCAACGTGTAGAAGAAAAGAAAGAACGTGTTAATGATAAAAGAAAGAAAGAAAGAAGAGTTAAGTAAACAATGGTAACTGCCGTGGTACATAATTGTTCTAAATTGATGATACATGTTAATTAGTAAAAAGAAACTAAACAATAATACAAATTACTCTCTAAATGTTTCTCGTTGGATTCGAATGACAGAAGACATACGGAAAGAAAGGATGAGCGGTCAGTCACTCTTGGTGACAAAATAAAATACACTCACAGATATTGTCTCTGCTATTGTTGTCCAAATCGCTAGTCTGTGTACGAGTTTCCTCGTGCTTACGCCGATCTGCATCAATCGCCAGCGCAGCACAAGGCACAAAAATGACTCGATTACGTCTTTGACATGGTGTAATCCACATGCACGCAACGTGTGTTGCAAAGGGAATTGAGTCGTTTTGTATGTTAGACAGAAAGCAGCAGGTCCTTTTAGAGCGGCACAATAAATAGAAAATAAAATAAACCAAATTCGTAGTATGTCTGTGAGTCGCAAAATTTATTTATTTCTTCTTCTTCTTCTTCTCTTTGTCATATTTTCAATCAGACACAAATTTTGCGTTTCTCAAACATACTGTACAACCTGTCTGCAACATAAAGTATGTATATATTTTACAGAATAATATATAATGGTTTTGTATCATAATGATATCGTTAAATCAGTTTCGTGTGTAAAACTACCTTCTTAATATATCGAATTACAGTAATCATTTGCAGCGAAATGAAATACGTCCATAGAAATGGGTAAAGTGATTTCAAAAAATGCCAGTGCGCAATTTTCCAATGAGACATTTGCTGTACAATCCTATACATTATTGTGCTTTATCAAACTGGTAAAAAATTTCTCTTGCCTATATAGAGTACAAAGTATTTCGTTATATTTATTCTCTACAGGGACAATATAAAATAGTGCTTATTCGTCGGATAATTATAAGATGCCGGAGAAAAAGGTGGCGGGGGTACAGGAAAGACGAAGGAAACATCAGTTCCTCTTTCTTTCTTTTTTTTTTTTGGAAAATTGCACGATCAAACAACGAAATTTTCAAACATGGTTGCATGTTATCGTTAAAAAAAAGAAATAAGAAAAGGCATCGATTTTAGTATCCATTAGAGTAATACGTAAACATTAAGGAAGCAATGGAAATAGTTCGTTTAAGTACTTGTATAAAAAGTAGTAGTCTATGTATAAAAGAAAAAAAAAAACGAACGAACGAACAAACTAAACGTTAAATTATCATTACTTCTTCTTTTTTTCTCGTTTTGTTGTTAACGTGAAATGCTCTAAGGAAACATTACACCATATTTGAAGTAAGTCTTATATAGTGTTACGACGCCAATGCATTTATGTGCATCGAATGCAAAGTATTTTCTAGCGGCATTTTATAAAAAGAACGTTATTTAGATACAATGTGATATGCTAAATAAAAATTTATATAATAATAACGCAACGGCAAGACGCAATTAAATGTGTGACGAATGTCTTTTGAAATGAAATAAGCTTGTGTTTTTGTTGTTTGTGTGTACATGTGTGTGTGCACATGTGGTGTGTACGTGTGAGATGCAGAAGATAATTCGTAAATTGTAGATAAGATGACATCAATGAACATAAACAATAAAGAAATGCATACACCTGGAAAGCTTGTATATATAAATTATATGTCGCAGTATTTTTTTTCTTTTTGTTCAGTAATTCTCTAACACTGATAAGATGGCACATTTAATATGAGCATAATTCGTTCTATTTACATATTGTCGAACCTGTGATGCAATACCACATAACATAATTGTAAACGTTTTTCTTATTTTTTTTTTTCGTTCATCACCAAATAACTTGAATTAGTAGGAATACAATAAAAAAATTGTCCTTTACGCATGGACAATATAATTTAAATGATTCACCAATAATTGCACAATATACAATAACATTTTTGTTGCATATTCTCTTTGTACATACATATATGTGTGTATATATATATATACTTTTTCCGTTTCTTTATTTTTAAATTGTAAAGCAGATTATTTCGTAAAAAATGTGTTTGCCAAGCAATAATTAGTGAATCGTTTAACATTTCGAAACAATATCCTCTCGATTTTAAAGAAATAGCTGCCCCATTGTCGTAGACAATCCTAGAACGCAAGCAATGGAAAAATATTAATAAAAATACTGTTCATTACGTAAATTTATCGACATAAACCGTGTTATTTACATAACCATGCTTGTGCTCTACTTCATGTGCGATCGTGCTTTACATCAACAAGTACACCGTAATATATTTATAGTAAAGCGTGCAGTATAGTGTATGTATAATAATGAATTATCGATATTAAATACTGAGTTTCTCGTACATAATAGTTGTACTAGTCTCGTTACTGCTATACGTAATGCTAAACTTCAACACAGCAGTTGCATTATCTCATGCATGAAATTGTCAATTTACTTATATTTCATTTCAGCAAAAGTGCAATAATACGAGTTTATCCATTAACTTATTTAATCGTACTACTTTATATAAAGAATTTATTTATATCTGATGTGGGTTCGATCGTGTACATAATTACCTCAGAATAAACGAACGCATAAACTTTCAAATTCGCACTGATTACGTTAAAAAAAAAAAAAAGAAAAAAAAGAAAAAAAAAGGAGAAGAACGATAAAGAAATTATAGGCAACAGCTCTACAAGAACTAGTAAAAATAAAATTCTAAAAACGATTCGAAATTTCAAAGATATCGTTATTGTTACGGCATAAAAAATACCTGTTTTACTCTTTGTTGAATTTAAATCTTACATTCTGATGCAACTTGTTTGAACCACATTAGTATGTACATTTACATGTTACATGCAAATATTTTTCACGAATATAAAGTACATTTAATAGAGACGAACTTTGAAGATATTATTACTGTCAAGTACATAGTGGAATGCAAAGTTGAGACGACATATATGAACAAATTGCTAAAATCTCGAATGCGAGTTATATAAACCTGAAAAGTAAGTCGAATAGGGCAGCGAATAAATACTTTGAAATATCGTACATGAATGATAGAAAACATGCACTATCCGAAAGATATCATTTTTATTTATCAGCGTTGTTCGAAGGAATACTACGAGAGTAGTATTTTAAAAAAAAGATAAAGATGATACCTAATATTCTTCTGAACTTACAGGTATCTTATTTAAACTGGTAAATAAAATGTTTCAAAGTATTCATTCGAAACGTTCGAATATATGTTGCTCTTTTCTCCAAATTTATGACTCATCTATTTACAACACCGACATCTACATAACATCAACAAAGAATTCACAAGGATTTCCCATCGCAATGCGAAATGACTGTCTACTACCAGATAAGTCTTGCTGGTTCTGTTGATTCCCCGAACCTGTTCCCGTCTGCACAGACTGTTCAGAACCACTGGAACGACTGCGACTACCGTTAGACCTCTTTCCATTCGAACCATTTCCATTGCCGGAATTCTTAGTCGGCATAGTTGGCACTGATGGAATATGTAATTCAGATTCAGATGCAGAAGAACAGGACTTCAAATCGTGTATAGGTTCTTTACAAATGTGTTCACTACCTGCGCTACTGCCGCCTGATAAAATATTATACTTTGAAATATATACTGAATGTCTATTACACTATCGATGATAACCATATACAGTCGGCTCATTAGTGAAGTTAAATGGCATTGGACTGTAACCAGTTGCAGAATGAGGTGCATATGTTCCTGAATAAGGCATGTCCCAGGCATTTGGTGGAGGTAATGGTCCAACTGTATCGCAATCTAGTTTCATGCTACTCATGGCTGAACATAAGTCACCAAATATATAATAACATTGTTCAGAAAATCTTATTTTATTCACTGTATGCCTAATGAAACCAGCTTGTAACATAAGAGATGCGTATTTCCTTGCATAACGGCGATCGATACATCCTTCTACGTGAGTAATAAGCCAATCTACAACATCTGCTCCAATAAATGCGTTTGGTATTACTATTTTAAGCCACATGCGATCACGAATTTCCAACCCTGAATCAGGCCGAGCCATCGCTCGTACTATTGTCGGCATATCGGTATTCACCGTAAGGTGTAGTTCTTCTATTGGTCCTAATCAAATGTGTTCCTTACATAATATGTTTTAAACTAAGTTTTATTTAAGTCTTCTTAATGAGACAAAAACTCACGTTCTGTATCTGGCAATGTACTTGCAAGACTGCTTGATGTGGATGTTAATGTTGTAGCACTTGGTGGGCGTGGAGGAAACCCTTCACCCCTTATAGCAGCTGTATGTGCTACCCAAGCACCAGGATCTATAGGCCGTACAGGTTCTGTACGTGGTATTGTGAAATACCCTTTTGGATTAGGATCCCAGCACTTTGCAACAACTAATTTGATTGGTCTACAAATTGTATTCATAATTATGATGAAACATGTTACAACCGTTTTATTTATTTACTAATATTTTAAACATACCCTGGCTTTTGAACTACCTCGCGTAGTACTTTAACTGCCTCATCATTAGACATATTTTCAAAGTTAATATCATTTACTTGAAGAATCATGTCACCAGGTTCTATTCGACCATCTAAAGCAACTGCTCCCCTACACATGTAAAAATTGACTACATGAAAGAACTGCTATTGTAAATATAGTGGAATTAGTTCACTAAATACTCTGTTCTAACAATATATTGTACAGAGCTCTTTGTACAATACAATTCAAAATTCACTACAATTTAACACATACCCTTTCATTATTGAACCAACATAGATTCCTCCATCACCACCTTTGTTACTTTGACCAACAATACTAATCCCAAGAAAGTTAACAGTATCCATGTTCAATGAAACTGTTATTATGTTCAAAGACATTGTACTGTCTGTGATACTACTAAAGGATGATGTTCTAGACATAGGTGGTAATCTATGTCGCCTTCTTCTCTGTAGTTTACGCCGATCTAATATTCAAATATGAAAAATTTATTTCCTGTTCTAAGTCCCACTTGATTTCTAAAATATATTTACCTAAGGTTGCCCTGTCAACTGTACTACTCATGTTGGTGTGTCTACCTGTGGTAGATGTTATACGGCTACTAGCATCATCATCTGACTCTAAACATGTTGTTGTCTCTAAATCTGAACTTAAAATAGAAGCAGTCTCATAACCATGGCCCGATCTGTGCTTTGAATGACCATTTATACGAAATCCTGAGTCAATAAATTAAAAAAAATGACATGTGAACAACAGACTTTCTACCTTTCTTATTTCTAGCAGACATTACTAAAAAAATTAGAGTCTAATTAGAGATGAATTCACACAATTAATAACATACCATTGTATTTATTGTATTTCTCATATTTATCTGTATGGTGTCTTGAACTTTTATGCAAATGATGTCCCTGCCGACTACTTGTAATACTTTCAGTTTCAGTTAAAGTGTCATCATGTGAAAGTGGAGGTGGGCCACGATTTGTGTGACCAGGTGTGACATGATCCACACGATCATGCTTTACCTCACTGTGTGCCACTGAATCTGTGCATTGTGATGCACCATCTGACACATTGCTGCCTTCAGCAGATACCAACTATTGGTAAATAAATTGATTTCTTTATTAAGAAATTGATACTCCACTTGACCTTAATTCTTGTTTTACAAGACATTTTTATGGGATAAAAAGTATATCAATGTATCAAATATATCTGTCCTATTGAAATAATTTGCAAGTGTTTCTCTACAGTTCTAGTGTGATAAATGAATTAGAATATACATGCTTTAACACTTATATCCTATCCAAGTTTTGTGGATATGCAAGTAATCACAAAACTTATATTAACACTTTTTTTAACTATTACCATTTTTTTAAATTGATATCATTAACTGAAGTGTATATTTCAATACACATTGCATAAAATAACTTATTTTTAACTTTTCAATATAACCATGCTTATGATAAGGTGAACTTATCCAACAATTAAAGTGGAAGTTCTATTAAGTTGTACTAAAAATTATTCAAGAGTCTTACCCAAGAAACAACCCGTCCATTAAAACAGGGAAGATGGGCATCATCATCTACAATTTCTTCCTTCACCACACTAATGAAAAAATAAAAATGTTTTTAATATGCCAATAATTTGATTTACTAAAAAGACCAACATTACAATAGCTAACTCAGTCAAAAATTGAGAAAAAAAAAAAAATAAACTTTAAATGCGCATATAGTAAATAAAGAAATTCAAGTAATATAATTAAGTATTGTTTGCAATAACGTATTCTACGTAAAAATACAACGTTACTACATCGGCATTAAATATTTGTTAAAAATGATTGCAAATAGGATGTGAAAAGCGAACGCAGAATAGGGGATAATTGTCAAAATGAAACTCTATCTCCAAAGCGGATACTGTTTAAATCGTAGGGCATTGACTCGAGTCGAAGATGAAAGATAATGTTTCAGCGACGAGTAACAATCGTTAATCCGTAGGTCGGAAAGAGTACGAGCGTAACATTCAAGGGACATGCGTATCGGTGTGACACTCACCCAAAATCATCGTCCATTGATTTGAAGAAATACTTATAATTTGGCCGATTCAAGACATTTTTGAAGTCGGCTAGAGTGACCCTTTCCGGTGAGATGGTGAGCTTCACCAGATAAGGGGTTTCCTCGTCGTCAATGTGATATATGATTTTAGTCTCTTCCATCGTTGGAACTCTATTGTTCTATGTGCATTTGCAATAAAACTGATTCACCCAAAGCCCACTAACATGAACAATTCTCTTAAACCAATATGGCGCGTCACAGTTCGAGCCAAAGCCCTCGCGCGTACGACGATCGTTCGTTCATGAAGTCTACGGGTTTACGTGAACTCTGCGATGCGTAACATTATTACGACTGCGTGCAGCGAGTTACAAGGAAACCGTTGACATTATTCACGAGACTCGCGCGGCGCGTATTCGTTGCCTCCGACGAGCTGAATTAAACGTCAACATTCTTGTCGAGATTACACACACTCGCGGCGGTCGGCCCGACACTCGACAGTACGCTCGAGGATTGGAAATGAACGAAGATAGAAAGACAATCTCGAGTCTCATTTTTACACCCTTTCAGCTATTCGCCAGCTTCATCGTCAGATGGCATTGCTGCACCATTGTCGAAGATGGCGAAGGGTTCCGAAATCTATTATGCTTGACGCTCCTATTTTTGAAAGTTAATACGCGTATATTTTATGGTTATGCATTTTGTTAAATTCGGTATAAATTTTCAATGTTCCTTTATTCACGGAAAATTCATGTGAAAGGTACGCAACTTCCGAATTATGTCTTTGTCGAATTGTAATTCGCATGCGTAGTGCCTCTTTGTAGAGTCTAAGAAAAAATACGATAGTCAAACGCCACTATACTTACTACATATTTCTAATCACTGACGTCTTATGTTACAACTTTTATTATCGTAAATATTTATCTATCTTATCGTTATAGATACGTATTTTCTCGCAAAATTTGAACACCTTCGTTCCAAATAAATACGTTCTATCGTGAAAAAATTTTAAGTAAATAGTTTAATCGATTCGATCGGCATCGAATGAAATTTCTCAAGTAGGTATTATCATAAACACCAATTGCCAATTACTCAGAAAGCAAACACCGTGAACAACGTAATATCAAGTCAAACAAAATTATAATATATTTTGCACAACTTTCTACACTAACCGAGCCAATTAGAACAAACAATTTCTACAAATAGTATTTCCATGTACTGTCTCTAGCTTATCTGTGCGTACTCAACACGCGTTTGCTCATAAATACGTGACGATACATCTCCTGTAAATTTGAACGTGTAACTAAGCAATTATACTGGCATTAATATTCAAGCACCATCTTATCGATCTTAACGCGGATTAATAACGCGAAAAGCACGATTATTCACTGTTACAGCACCTTTGTACCAATTTATTACGTTCACGCAAGCATGCGACCCTCAATCCCATTCAACTTCCGGTTCACAATTCGGAAGCGAGAAAGGCAATGTTTGCATTCGATAATCACACGCGCTGCCGTGATACAACGCGATCGTGTGTCTTCTCGAGTGCTGGGTAATTTACACGCACGTTCACACCGCGTCATTAACCGTAATTCTATTCATTATTTTTTTTCCGGACAACAACGAAAAAAAAAAAGACAGTGTGTTGCTCTGCGGCTTTCAATCCGGCAACGAGGAGCGCAGACTTAATTATACGGTCGCGCGAGCAGAAGAAAAGGGATTTTAAATGAAAGTAAATCATGCATCCGCGTAAGGGATCCACAGGCACTGCGTGTATATAACGTGCATTGGGTTGTTAAAGAAAATTCGTGGCCATTTTTATGCGAATAATTGCGCCTCGTATTTTCAAGTAATTATTTCTTTATTCTATAAGATATGTATCTCATTTTATTCTACAATCTTTCGCCATTTTTATGGCAATTTGAAAATTCCGTTTTACCAAACAAAATTTATTTTTTATTTCCAAATTTCTTTTTTTTTTAAAGATTAAAATTTCTAAATTTTGCAAACATTTTTTTTTGCAGATTCAGTGAAATCTTTTCTTTTTTTTTTGGCAAAAGAAAAGCATTGTTTTGCTTCGTCTTCGAAATACAGGTGAAAAAATAATCTTTCAGAATATACAAGCGAGGTTTACACGTTTTTTTATCGAGTTTCATTTATTCTAACAGAAGCTACTGGAAATCGGCACGAACATTCTGGAAATCCCAATACATAAATCTCGTAGTTGTATCCTTGAGTAAAAGAAATTATACCGGGAACCGGTTCTATCATCAATTCATCATTGCTAGTAAATAAGTAATGTTCAAAACGATACACGCGTAAGATCTGAATCTAACGTCCAATTATAACACGTGGAAATAATAAACCAGAAATAGAATAACGAATCGTTCGTTTATCTGGTTAACAGGAGTGTAGAAAATTATTTGAATTTCATCAAGCAGAAAAACAATATCTGTTCATTGCGATACTTCATCAATTAGAAATGAAGAAAAAGAAAACACCGGATGCTTTTTTATCGAACGTTGAGATCATTCGATTGAACGATGTTTTTTAATTATATTAAACAATATAAGAAGAAAGAGAGTATTCCTAATAATTGTCATTTATTATTCGTCAATTAATACTCTTAATAATTATCTCTGACTACGTCCTCTACGAAGGTATCCCATTTCTCTTGCCATAGCGCAAGAGCTTTTTCTTTCTCGGAGTTAGTCAAGCTGCTGTAGTGAAGAGAGTTAAGAGCCACTTGTTTCAGACTTCTGAGATCAGCGTGTTTCGACATGAGCGCCATAAAAGCTTCGTAGAAGTCGTAGCTAAGGGCTCTGGAACCCCAGAAACCAGGGTCGTCGTTGGAAATCACCACTGGGTATCCTTCAGAGAACAATCGTCTGGCAGCATGATTTCTCAAATCGTCCACGAGTTTTAGAACTTGATTAGAGATCGGGTTTATCTCGATGGCGATATCCAATCGCTTGGTGAGCTCTAAGAGGAAGGGATGAGAGTTCAGGGCGTATCTAAGTAAAAATATAAAATTGAAGTGTTAAAGTATTTTTTCTGTTTTTTTTTTTAGGATTGAAAAAAACATTAATTGTTGTGCTTTTATTTAGATTCTCTTTCAATCGTTTTGCTCTTGTAGTCTAGCTTTTTTTTCGTCGAGCTCGGTGCAATGATAAGATAAGAGATTAAGAATAGGCTGCGACGTCTAGTGTACCTATCGATTGCAACATTTCGATACGCAAAGGGTTTCTTCTGAGTTTCAGATGTATATAGATAGTAGCTTTTGTAATACAGACAAGATTTTAGGAGTAATTTGAAGTGATTTTTATAATTTATTTATTGTATATTTTGACTTCATTTTGTTCTTATTTTTCTTAGTTCATTATATTCAATTAGCTTTTCATAATTCAGTTAAGATTGTAGAAATAATTTTAAACAATTCCTATAATTTATTAATTTTATATTTTCATAGGAAATCCATATCCAGTCAAGTCATTATATTCAATTTTCTCTCTCTCTTTTTCTTGAACAGTATTTTCCATTGCTAATGCTAAATAAACAAGTAAATACTTGAAAAGGAGAACGCTCCTCAGCCTTGACAAAGTGGTTCACAAACATCTCCTTTCTATTTCTATCGGTTCATTACACGCAGTCGCAGGATAAAATTAAATTTAACATGTAACTTCTCTTACCCATGGCCAATGCGTTTAGTATTCAGTAAAATAGCATCGACAAGGTTCTCGTCGGTAGAAGCGCCCAACCAATTCGTCTCTCCCGCGTGGAAGAAGAAGTTGATGTTATCTTCCTCGCCGTTCCTCAGTATGTCTGCGAAATATTTCAGCGTGTATCCTTTGTCTTCTTGACCGACCAGATCAAATCCAGCCATGAATTTAGGATACTTTTTCTTCAGTAGTTTCATCGTTTTTATGTTATCTTCTGTTTGTTGATGGCTGCTCATTCGTGACGGTGCATAAATCAATTTGACTCCGATGAAATCCGGATGCTCTTTCTTGAATCTGTCGAAGGAATTTTCAAAGGAATTACGATGCAGCTATAGCGACGTACGTTGATTAATCATTTAGTCAGCCTTTTCTGATTCATTAGCTATTAACCCCCGAACAGCCGACCGAAAACAGTGACGCGACACGCCAACGTTGGGTCACTTCTGACCCATACTGGAATTTTTACTATATGTATTTCAGAACTAATCTTTAGGGATGTTATACATTTTGAGCTATATTTGATATCATTTCCTATGAATTTGTAGCATCTCGAACATATTTATGCTATTATTTAGCTTCTTCGATCTTTTTTTTTTCGCTGTTGTATTCAATACTGTCTGGCTAAAGACGTTCCAACTTTCCACGCAGTCATTTGTTTATGTTACAGCGATAAGATTGAGCCTAGCGAACGAGAGGACGTTGCCGCCTCTTCGCTATGCTTAAGACATGGGTTAATTAAAAGTGACCCGGCATTGGCTGGGCGAGGGTTAAAGAAGATGTTAATTCGCGCGATTCACGTAAGTCACGTGCGATCGAGGATAATTAGGAAAAGTATTATCTTCGTTGATCAGACGAAAATGTTCATTTATATGTGAAAGAAACGTGCGTGGGAATGTAGGTACAATTACTATTGAATCGAATTTTTACTTTGTGAGAACGAAGTCAATTGTGCATTCAGTCGTGTATGTTTCGTTTCAAGATATCTTTCAACGAATTATTCCACATTATTTTGAAACTCAAGATAAGTGATAAATTCGATTTTTTTAGATTTTTTACTTAGATTACTTTGATAATTACTATCATAATTGACCTTGACTAAGCAATTATAACATATCAAACTCTTACCGATTATTCTGCGAATTTCTCTTTTTGCTTAAATAGCTGAAGAGATTCTAACGTCTCACATATTTTGCATATTAAATAATTTCTCTAAATTACACAGTAATACACAACAGAAATGAAATGTAACTCTCTCGCTACTACAGAACAACTATAATCGTCCACCATATTTAATTCTACAAACGATTCAATCAAGTCTCCTTATTTAAAATTACAGCAACAAAATTATTTCATTTATCAATATGATCGTTTCTCAACAGACACACGATCGCAGCGAAAAGGTTAACAAGTGTCCCTAAAAACCAGCTGGAAAATGCGTAACAAGAAGAAGTACCTCTCAGTGAGCCTCTCGTAGATACCAACCAGATCCTCGGGCATGTAGTTAGTGCCATCAAAATCGTACAAAGTCGGCAGAGTGGATCGTAGTTCGAGATACATCACATTATCCTGATACAACTGTTCGAGAGCCTCGAGGAAATGGTCCTCGTAAACAGGTCTGAACGTCACTAAGGGACCGATGAACGCAAAAATGTCGCTGAACTTGGTCCAGGCCATGTCCACGTTCGGATAAGCAGCCATAGGATCGTTGACCTCCATCGACATCCTCTCCTGAATCATTTTCTCCACGATTTTACCTCGTATCGGGTCCTCCCGCACTTTCTTCAACAACTTCCAGTCGCACGTCTGATCGGGCTCTCTGAAGAAACGAAGCTTAACGACACAGTCGACGATGCAAACGTATAGATCATCGCGGAACGTGATGTTGTGATAGATGTAATCACTGCTGACGAGCGATGTGTCGTGAGTGTGCAGCACCGCGCCTTTCGGCATACGACGAAGCAATTCGAACACCTTCGACTTCTCGATGTCTTTCTTCGCCTCGATGAAGTTCCTGGACGGTGCGAACAGAAGAGGATTCTTGAAGCCTGGAAAAATTACGTAGGAACCGCGAGATCTTTGGAGATAAACACACTTTGGTAAACAAACGATTGCCACCTGTTGATCATTGATATCGTGAAAATAATACAATTTGACGAAAATTTCAGTTGGACTGTTAAAAAGCAAGAGTGTCCATCGTTCTTCGAGCAATCGTTATATCACGGTCAATTTCATTCAGCCGTTTTAATCTAACGATACACGCAAAGGTGACCAGAGCACGTGTTACGTATCAAACAGGTTTCCCACTTTTATGTCATTATGTATACTGGTACAGATCGAAATACCATTTAAATCCTCTCACCATAACGATACACGTATTATCGAAACGTTTTAAACAATCAAACTAACCAGCGTTCAATTCTTCGTCCTTAGCCTTCGTCAGGATCCCGTTAGCCACCCTTTCGATTTCGTTCAACGTTATATTGGCGCCTACCATCAATCGTTGCTCGTACTCCAGTATCTCGTTGCGAAGGGATGAGTAATTTGCACGTGGAAACGCGACATTTACGCCGGCTGAACAGAACAGTATTACCAATGAAAGAACGAAGACCCTCATGATCGATGATCTATGCCTGACGATTATCGTCCGATGTTGTCGCGCGCGTAGATATCAAGACCTGGTACTCTCAGCGATCCAATCACCTCGACTGTTTGCACCCTACTGACTGATCGTTTCTGCCAAGACCATTGTAATACCTTCTTATAGATGTGTCGAATATATAAGGCCGATGCTTGTTCAAGTATCAGCGTCGCAATCGCACCGCGGTTACAAATTCGGCTCGACTCTCTCCTCTCATGTGTAAAGGAACACGTTTTTGCCTTTTTTTTCTTTCTTCTTCCCTTCCTAATTGAACGCTTCAGGGAGTTTGCAAATCGCTTAGCCGCTTGTTTTGCAACACTGGAAGGGGTGAGATAATTGGACAATTAAATCCTGTTTTACTTGTTCGAAAGAAGATGCAAAGAATGTTTTGTAAGGATTAAATGATCAACCGTCGCGTGATTTATTTACAAAACGTACAGAAGTTTATTTTGTAAAAAAAAGGGTGTAGAGATTTTTTTTCCCAGTAAATATTACAAGATTGAACGTTATTCCGTTCAAACGACGTTGATGTTAAGAAAGGAAAAAAATTTACAATCAGTTTTTTGCCGCTCATCACGATCACATCACGAGAATATATCCTTGGATTAAATTATACGAGGTCGATGACTTGTGCTAAGTCATTGCTTGAAATACGTAATTAATTTTTTCTTTATCGTAATTGACGCGCGAAAATTATCCTTGCTGTGCAAATGTTGATTGAAATATTACTATTATATAGTACGCATTATGATGTAAGTTATGTTGTACTTTTATAGACGGTGGAATTGTTACATTACTATTCGATATCTTACAAACGATAAGTTGGAAAGAAGATAGTAAATAAAATGGTGAAAATAATGCAATTGAAATATGTACAAAGTCATTGGACGTACAGCCATCCGTGGAAAAGATTTATTTTCAGTGCAGACAACTTGTTTCGTTACAAACTACAATCAGTTGGTTGGAAGTAACAAGTGCTTAGCTCGCCGGGCAAAAATACAAAATGCTGAAAATAGCCTCGCCTAAATCATATAAATTCAATCACTTAAGATTCCCTCTCTTCTCGTTAATCGCCTAATCTAACAACGACAGTTACGTTCGCTGTACTCAACGGGAAAAAAAAGAATACATTTACATGTGTTCGCTTGAAATCATTGGAAACCTTGAAAAACTTGAGATTTCTGGCGAATCATGATAGCAGAACTTAATGTAAGGCACTTTCTGCGGTAAGCACTTCATGTTTACATAAATACACCGCTGTTAGTCACACTCTGAAGTAGATGCAAGTGTAGACTTTCGATACTCTATCAATCCTTAATTGTTCGCAGTCGTTACATCAATTAGCCCTTCGATAATATGGTAATAATCATATATCACGTTGCTTAAGCAATCTGACGTTTGTCGATATGATGTTGTAAACGCGATATTGTAAGAAAAAATTGTCCTAAATTGTCGCGAAATTAATGTGCGTGTGTATTGTTTCAATTTCTTCCAGTCATTTACAATGAACTGTTTAAATTCCATTGATCTGTCTTCGTCGTACATTGTACAAATATCCCGTAACACTACTACACATATAAATTTTCGTAGCTTTAGTTTGTTACTATTTATATATACAAATCCAGAATATATTATTATCGTTGCAAAATATATCGATGATAACAAAACGATTGTTGCATTAGAAACCTAACAACTATTAACTGCACCCATGTTGAATTTATGCTAGAAATAAATAACTTAAAATCGATAATCGTTAATCGAGGTGTTTAAGTAATTGTAAACTTAATTGTTCGTAGCGCAAACATGCGCTTTTAACATTATTGTCTTATATCATTTTATGGAGACGCTTATGGATGATCGTGAATGATATATCGTAAAAAGTTAGAGTACGTTCAATTATCTCAGACTGATATTTCGATGATTCACCTTATAGCACTAACAATTTAAGTTTGTGTATCTAATAAAAATGATTCCTTAACGATATTGTGAATTGGACCATCATTTTTTGTATCTTTCCCTTAAGAACATTAAAAACGAAACGAAGTTTTTGGTTCTTGCTTCAGCGAATAGTGATTTCCTTTTGTTTAAATAATATAATTGAATTGTGTGTCATACAACTATGACATAATTCAACGTAGTATTACGTAAATCAGTAGGAAAAAAAAAAAATGAAATATCGATATTCAATAAAACAATGCCTCTTTCTCGAGTATAAATGCGATGCACGGCGTAGAAATTGTTGTACAGTATATTACATGGCGTAAGAACTTCATTAACAGGGAAATATACATAATAAAGTATGAATATGTATATTGCACTAATCATTTAAACAACAAAAGAAAACTAAAAGTCACAAACACCTTATGATATAACCAAACGACTATACCCTAAGCAATAGTTATAGAAAAAATATACTCTTTAACATGTATATTCTATGTTAAGAAAGTTAATATGCTCTCCATGTAATAAATTAAGTGTAAATCAATATTTGTCCCACATCATTGAACACAGGATATGTAAACACAATTCTTTTGGAGCGAACGATAATCCCCGCTTTTTATTGTTCTGTAAAATATTCCACGTGCTATTACGATCGTTCAATTTTTTTGTTCACCCCATTGCATACAATTATAGTACTTTTAATTGTAATACATAGGACGTTTCACTTAATTCTTTTTTATCCGCAGTATTTTCCCTACTATTAACGAAGTAAATACATGTTTTATGAATAAGATTCAATCTTCGAAATAAAACATTTTTTTTTTATCGTTAATAGAGTTATAAATACGTCAGATGTATAAATTTGTGAAACATCCTATAATTTATCAGTTGAAAAATTTCTTTTGTTAAAATGTCACAGTATATATATATACTATATTTTAGCAAAGTCGAGTTCAATGTCTTTGATAAAAATTGTTAGTTTCCAAAAATACATAAAAAATTGATCCACTATTTTTTACAAGTTTCAAAAATTTGAACCGACGCTCAAGTGGGGATTCCTACACACTCTCTCCCTCTCTCTTTGTTACTAGAATTTTCTTTTATCAATCCCTCCAACGTGATTCTACACAGTCAATCGTTTCAGCATACACGATTTCTCTATTGACCCTCTATTGACCCTCAAAGCGTCAATAACCAGGACATCGAAGAAAGATAAAACATCGCCGTCTAAATAAAACATCGTCTAAATATGTTGTGCTATCGTTATTCGAAAGTTTTCTTTTTTTTCTTTGCAGACGGTTCTTTCCAGTTGCATTATCGAAAGTATGAATGTTTTCCCCCAGACAGTCTTAGGAATTACAAATACACCGTTTAGCATAAAGCTGCTCGCTTGAGGTTGCTGTTACAGTGGACGCACGATTTCGTGAATCTCGAGATCGCGACAGACTTTTTGTTTTTCACGTTTCACGTATAACGTGTGTAGCCAGCAGTACAAATTCCTTGGAGTTCCGCACCAAGGTCGATTATTATTGAGATCTTCAAACAAAGATCGTATAATATGAGCAGTGGCCGATTTACGGCAGAAATGCTTTTACTTACAATGTAATCATGACAGTGATATTAAAATTACGTTAAGAAGCTTTCATTGATTTATCCGCGTGCGCTAACGTGAGAGATCCTACGAGTGACACGAGCGTACGATCCAGCCATGTTATAGGATTCGGATATAAGAGACCACCCTCGTAGAAACCTAAATGTCCGCCATGAGCCAGTTCTATGTATAGCGTGTTTGGATGAGTTTCTAAAATAGGAAAATAGCACAAAATGGATATGAAGTTTAAGCATGGAATACGGTCGGTCTATACACAAAATCCTTGTTATTACTTACTAGCATGTTCTTTGATGGGATCGAGCAGTATTTCAGGTACAATAGGATCATCCAGAGCATTGATAAACACCATAGGCGTGGTGATGTTTTCGAGATAAAATAGAGAGCTACTCCATTTGTACAATTCCTTTACCGATCTGAAGTTATGTACCTGTTTAACAATTGATATTACAAATTTTAGCAATATGCAATATTATTAAATAGATATTTTGTAGAATGTACAGTACATCGAAATATTGATTACCCTTCTTGTGTAGGCTTCATCCAGGTCCAGTAACGTCGCGGCGGAAATGATGTCTCCTTCGTTTAAATTAAATCTCTGTTTCATCTCCTCCGACAACAGTATATTCTTATGCTTAAGTATAATACTTTTCACCGATTCCGACATTATGTACATGTAGAAACGTCGTAAGTTCTGCGAGCTAAGTAGGAACTTTGTACCTCTGTAGCCATAAATTAGAGCGGGAAAAAGAGGAAAAGGTAAAAATAGTTTAATCGAATAAATTTAGTTTACTATGAAATATTAATAACGATACTCACTCAATGGCGTTGTATCCTTGGCAGATAGATATGCCCCCGATTATATTGGATAATTTATTCGGTCCTCGTTCCCCTAAATACTTAGTCACGATGTTGCCACCCAGGCTGTAGCCAATGCAAATTATTTTTGTATTCGGATGCTTCTGTATCAAATTCTGTAGCATCACGTGATAATCGTCGGTGTGTCCTGAAAATTTTATGTCGTGGCCAGAGTCAATTAGAAATTCAATTAACGTCAAATCGATTAAACAGTATCCAACATCCTTGCGACTTTCATGAGTTAGGCTGTGCTAGTTAATATTATTCAAGGCTTCCATACGCAAACAGTGTCCTTTTAGAAGCAGCTCGAGAAGCTAGACTGAAGAGAATTTTTCAAGTGATAATACAAAAAGAAGAAACTACAAACTTTCTTGCAAAATATTTCATTCGTGTTAGATACAAAATACAGTGAGTTGCTAATTTTTCCAAATGTTTCTTTTTTTTTTTTTTTTGTAAATTGGATCAATTTCAAATTTTCTCAATTTATGGTCGACCAAAGTGATAATGGTAATTGAAGACAGTTTAAACAGCTGGTAAAATTTGAAGTTACTCAGCACATAAATAGTATGATTTTCAAATGGAAAAAGTATGAATTGCAACTAAGTTAGAAAAGTGATTAGTTTTATTTGGAATTAATGAAAAATTCGGGTAATTGAACGTACCATAGGTAAAAATTCGCGGCGCAGTCACCTTTACACTCGACAAAACTCCAACGTGATTAAGTACCACACATCGATATCCATGGCATTGCACAAAGTGGACAAACGTCCTGATGTAAATACTTTCGGAACTGTTGCAAATTCCGGGGCAGATCGCAATGGTTACATCATCTGTAGTCAGATAAAATAAATGGAAATTATAAAAGTTCGCTTTATCTCTTCTAATTAGACACAATAAAATAGTCCCATAAGTTTTCCAACAAGCTATTCTCGGTCTTTGCTGTTGCTTTAGCGATAGGCAGTGCTCTTTTGTACAAGTTCAGCATAAATGACAATGTTTCAATTATTCATCGCAATTGATTCTAGGGAATACACACAAGGTGAAGATCGTGCAGGGAAATAATTGATTATAGAATAAAAAATGTTATTAGGAAAAATTGAAGGATTTTGAAAAATAGACAATTCTTCTTAGTAACATTTTATCGTATCGTTAATACTTTCGGTGATATTCGATCGTGAAGATTAATATGCTTCACCTTGTACAGTGCATCAAATGCACTTGTCAGTGCATTTATTTTTTCTTCCGTTTTCAATAATGCAATTTTGCTAATTTTCAGGGCACAAGATAAAGATAATATGTTTGCATAACGTAGAATAATTTTTTTTTTTTTAGTCTCACATCTTTGAAAATTCGCATTTTTGAGATAAGTAAAGTTAGCGATTAATAGACAAATATTAGTTTGAGTTACAAGTACTCCTTTAAGTAAGATTTAAAAGAAATTTCTAAAAAAAATACAATTTCTTTTCTAACGAAATATTTTTCAATCTCTGAAGAAATATTGTTTAATTTCTAAAAAAATATTACTCATTGTCTAAAAAAAAAAAATATTATTTAACTTCTCAATAAATGTCGCTCTTTTACTTTAGCAAAATTGACAATCTTATCAATACTTCTCTTACGAAAAAAAGGGGAGAAAAAATATAACAATTTCCCATTAAGATTCTCTCATAGAGTTCTGATAGTCTGTAAAAGCTAGCTTCAAGCCATAATCAAAATTTTACTACGACCGTCGTTACAACTGTAACAATCATAAGCATACGAAGTAATTACAGTATAATTGATCGTCCCTATCGTTAACCTTCGAATTGTTCAATAAATCTCCTGAAAATGCACTTGATGCAGCACTTGAATTGCAGATCGAGCAGATAAACGTTTATTAAAACGCCGCTGCGTACAACACCAAGGCTTTCACAGTCTTCGATTTGATAGGATGGGGTCGAAATGATTTACACTGTTCATTTCAGTATCTCGTATTGATTCGTTTGCTATCTTGTTCGGAACGCTATACGGTCAACCTTTAATCTTTATTAAAGTTTAAGGAACATACACAGCGTTGAATCATCAACGAGGGAAACTTTCGGCCGAGTACCGAACTATATCCGTTATGTTAGTTTCGTAGTTCACCAATTTCCAACACGGAGTGTCTTAAACATTAACGCAAGTAGTTGACCGTCACTTTGCCGAGCTATTATCCCATTCTACACGTTCGTAATTCGTTTTCGACCAGGAATTCTCTTTCATTGTGCGAGAGAAAAAAATAGATTTCTTTTATTTCGTGAGAGAAAAAGTAAATCTCTTTTATTTTATGAAAGCAAGAAATTCATTTCTTCCCTTTTGTGAAAGAGAAAATTAATCTCTTTGATTTTATAAAACGGAAAAATTAATTTCTTTCATTCTATGGAAGGAAAAATATATTTCTTTCATTTTATGATAGAAAAAGTCAATTTCTTTCGCTTCACGAATGAAAAAAATACGTATCTTTCACTCTACGAGAGGAAAACTAGATTCCGTCTAATTCTCTGTGAATATAACAAACCTTCGTAATCATTGGTCAGAGGTTGATATAGATCATAGGTAAGAGTGGTTTCATCCGTAAGTTTGATGGATACTCGTACTCCAATTGGCCAAGGGCAACGGACGCGCCCAATAACACTGTGCACGATGGTTTGTACGTGACCACTGAAACCCCATAACCTTGTCGGTTTATACCTGAAACGAGTTGAACAAATAGCACTGTAATATCTCTCAATGTCACAATGGACAAACTCGTCATTTCAATAATTCAATTCCACCGTATTCACACGTCGAATTTCAAGGTACTCGTGGAGAAAACTTCAATCTTACTTCATTCGCGCCTCTTATCAACAATCGTTATGCAACGCTATTATTCTACAATCACAATTGCAACAGTTTATCGCGAATGATTTTCCAACAAAGACTTCCTCGTAGCGACGACTAACTAGAAAACGATCTATTTTCCTGTAATTGCTTTCTCTTGTTGTTACAAGTGTTATCTTCTGTAGTGGTTAGTTTTCGTAGCTACGGCGGTGCCAGAAAATTTTTATACCCAATTTAAACGGTTTCAAAGGGTGAATATGGCGGAAGAGCATTTTTCTTTTCCAAAGCTTTCCTGTGTACATTCGCGTCCATAAGTTACTGGACACTTGACACTATCGAAGGCAATATTTATTACAATTGCTTCTCAGTAGAATCTGACAAAGATACCATAATTTAGCTCCCTTTAGAATATGAATAATTAGCAAGTGTTAGGTCCATTTTATAAATTTATTCTTAACCTAAATGCACAAAGTGTCCGGGGACTTATCAACAGGAGTGTATACATTTTTTCCTACTATAAATTGCAACAAATATCGATGTGCATTTAAATATGCACAGTAATATAAGCTTAAAATGATCTTGGACTCTAAAAGTTTTCTTCATTTTTGCTATTTTTCCAAAATCATTTAAATTACGTGGAGAAATTTTCTCGTACCACCGTTAACTATACAGAGAAGATAATTACGTGGCCTGTTTCACGTGGTTCATCACTTGTAAGATAAAGTAATTCCAGGAAAATTTATCTCTTATTCGTTCACCTTCTAATTAATAGCTGGACATCAATTTTGAAATACCCTTAAAATAGCCTTCCAATTACAGATCGAGTCGGTGAAAAACTTGACCACCTTTACGCTACAACGAGAAGCAAAAGGAAAAAGAACGAAAAGGGAAAAAAGAGAAGCAAGGGAAACAGGTTAACGTGATAGTTGGGAAAGGCGTCGTAAAACAATCCGAAGGCTGTAATCCTCGTCGAATTTCTTCCCCTTAGGGGAACATTTCGTGTATAGCACCTTTTGTCTTATTAACCCGCTGTGGCGGCAATTTCTTTTTCAGCTGGTTCAACTAGTTCTACATCGGTTCGTGTCGCTCGCTCGCGTTTCATTCATCCAACAAGCCCGTTGTTCACCTTTGTGAAAGTGTGTTCCTTCGTTCGCAGGAATTCCACGGGATTTTTGCGGTGAAGAAAAGCGAAGCCGAACGTGGTAACAAACTATTAAGCCCCCCTTCATTGCATCGTACCAAAGAGCCACAGTGGATAAGTGGAGCATGTACGAAGCCGTATAAATCACTAGCATTAAACGACCTGTACTCGGGGAAAATATAATCTTCAACCTTAGTAGGACAAGAGAAGAAAACTTGCACCAGGTTGTTATTGCCACGAAGAGAAGGATTTTCTTTCTTTTCGAGAAGACGTAAATATTTTCGATCGAAAAATCTACAGATTTTCCTTTTCCTTTTCTCTCGCCTGAGGTATTGAGTAAAGAGGATATTTTCATAGACTCTTTTCCACGAAGAAAAAGTTCAATTTACCACTTATTGTGTGCTGCCTCGATCTTTCCATACAAAACAGTTACGTTACAAAAACCGAGTATTTTGTGAAATATTTCATTACACAATGAGAACATTTTTTTCTTTAACACACCCGAAGGAAAAGTTCTCGAAAAGAGAAGTATATAACTCAAACCACTCTGCTAATCACCGTCGCAAATCGATTTAATCCAAAAAAAAAAAAAAAAAACCTCCACGTTTCCATTATCTTTCTCTCACTACAGAGCTACTAAATAAAGAGGAAACTTACACAAACAGTCTTATCCACGAAGAAGAGTATATTCTTCTCGAAGAAGACATAAATACGTTCGATCCGAAAACCTCCATGTTTCAGTTCTTTTGTTCTTTCTCCCCTGAAGTATGAAATAAACCGTGTTACCAGACTATGTTAACGACAAACCCATGACTCTACAGAAAAGAACACTACTAAATCCGGCAATTTCGTCGAGTGCGAAGTAAACCAGGTGCAAAATTTTACTACGATTTCTACTATGTCGTTAGTGCATCACCTTCTGTGCAATTTTCACCGTACACATTGTGCATTCCAGTTCGTTTTGTTCGTGAAAGAAATTCAACAAGCCGGACAGCTTTATTTCGCGTTATCCTTATCTGTTAAACTTCTTCTTCTCCTTCTTCGCGATTAAAGATTCACGCTTGTGCGGCGTTTTTCGACCACTCACCACGCCTGCCACTCCCGAGCTCCCCTCGCGTTGCATATTCTCTCTTTGCCCCAGTATCGGTGCTATATTTAAATCCTTCGAATTCCACGTCCTTAATTTCACAAAACTTTAAATTGTAAATTACTAATTGCAACAGTTTAACGTGTTCCCGACCGCCTAGTCGTTCTCTACGCGACTTTCTATTCAGCCAGCAGTTATGCCAGTTCCGAACGCATATTTTAGAATAAATTTAGGATCGAAGAAATGAGTTGTTGTCGGAGGAAAAATGCAGCGTCGATGATTTATTTCAATTATGAAAATATACGGGATGGGCTGAAAATTGAGTAACTATTTTTCTATTGTTAGTAAATTAATGTAAATTTACCGAAATAAGGCATGATTAAGTAAAAAGTGCGGGATGGGCGGAAAATTGAGTAACTCTGTTTTCTATTATCTCGCGTGGAAATTAATTTGCCTTTAATTTGTATTTGATTTGCAAAATAATCTCCATTAATTTCGGTAATGATTCTGAATTCTCTCTTCGAAAAAATACGGCCTGAAAAATATTTTGTGGAAAAGGGCGCCGAACAATTTTCTACACCCGTTTCAAAATTTTTCTTCCAGATTTTACTCAATTTCTAAATAGTAAAAAGACTTATGGGACCATCCTCTAGCAAATATAATATACAAAATACAACTAAATACTTTCACAGCAAAATTTGAAAATTTATGCAGCCTGTACAATTCTTTTCTTATTAAAACACCTATGCATAAATTGGGTTAATTATCCGGATAAATTAGAATGCCACTGCTGGTTTAGTTGCACTTCTCGCTAGTCCACTACCTATGCACATTTTCTTTCCAACGAGAAATGCAACATTGCCTTACTATCCGCACAATTTTCCTTTTAATTTCGTGACGTTTTCTACCGTAATCAGATGACTCAAACCCGGTCGCTACATCCACGCCGATAACCACTCCACAGACACGATAATTACGTATCGAAATAAAAAGAAATATCGAGTAGCCTGAATGGAAAGCTCGACGAAACTTTTTCCGTGTGTTCAATCCTAAATTGTAGATTACAAATTCTATTTATCATTGGTGTAATTAGAAGCACGAGTGTGACCGGGTACAGGTACTCGAGGAAATAAGAAACGCATTATCTGTCGGGATAATCAGAGAGTCGTTGATAACTGAAAGAGGACACATAACTCGAATATTACTCGACGACGGGCAAAAGCTATCGAGAATTCATACCGCGTGTCGCGGCAAATGAAATTCATAAAGCTACGTACAGCGAGTGAAATTCGCTGTTGTGCACCAATTGCTCCGCGACGAAGGCGAAATTCTTTCCTCCGGGTATATTGTCAATTTAGCCTGCTCCGCGAGTCATGGAACGAAAGCTTCGCGCAACTAACGAGGGAATATCTTTAAGGGATAATCACCGATACTGATGAAACTTCGGTGTGTCGCGGTGCTGAGGAAAATATTTGACACGTATTTTTTATTTTTATTGGCAAAGGTTCACACCGAGGGGGTGAAAATCGTTCTTAAGGTTGGAGATGGTTTAGTCTAATATGTATCTCGAAAATTATTAGAGACAGAGGAATGGCGTAAATTGGTGAATTTGAAACTGACGAATCTGGAATTTTTCAAAATTTGAAAGATATGAAATTACTTACAATTTTCACTTTTTTATTATTTTCCATTTTTCAAATTGTTAGAGATAAAGCAATGATGTAAATTGGCGGATCTTGAATTTTTCAGTGATAAAATTTGAAGGATACAAAATTACCCGTAATTTCTTATCTTTTTATTATTTTCTATTTTGAAAATTGTTAGAGATAAAGCAATAGTGTAAATTGGCGAATCTTGAATCTTTCAGTGATAAAATTAGAAAGATATGAAATTACTTACAATTAAAATTTTTCTATATCTCCCATTTTTCAAATTATTGGAGATAGAGAAATGATATAAATTGACAAATCTTCTATTTTCCAACGATTAGTCAACTTTTCATTTTTCAAATTTTTCCATTAAAAAATACAAAATTCGTTAACTTTACAAATTCCAGACATTACACTAAATACATTCACCATCTCCAACTTCGAGGACAACTTTCACCCCCCTCACTGTAAACGATTGCTATAAAAGCACACGTATCGAATATTCTCTTGAGAACTACTCTACATATACCAAAGTTTCATCAACGATCCTCACTTCGGTATGTTCCTTCGCAAACAGAGGAAAGTAGAATTTAACGAGCATCGCCTTTACAAATATTTTCATCGAACGCACGTCGTGCGAGATTTCTTCGGCAAGATTCTCCATTCACGTGAATCACGATGACAGAGGAGGTATTCTTTTCACGGCACATGCAAATGTAATTAATAAGGCGGGTCGTTAATTTTTAATTAGAAGCCACGCGGTCATTAGCGCGAAGCAATTCTGCACTTCTTGTCGCCTTTTCTCTCCTTTCGTGCACGCTAACGTTCGACCAAAGAAATTACACGTTTCCCTGCACGCTTGTATGTCACTTATATAGCCGGTTGCAGTCATGGTCAAGATGTAATCGATCAAAAGCAGACGTTAAGCTTGGTTTTTTCCATTTTCGACGTGTTACGATAACGAGTCATGCGTTGCAAATCAAAAACGTGCGACACGCGTTCGAGGAAGAAGAAGCTTTCGCGGGCAGAATCGCCGATTCATTTTCTATGGAAATTTTCTTAAACCCCTTCACCTATGATTACTTTTCTGACTGTGCATAGAAGCTTCAGCCGTTTAACGTTTTAGTACTGTGTCAAGTAACAAAAGCAAATCTGTTATGAAACCAAAATTTACGATGAATTTTTCTTACTGACATATCTATTTCTCTCACATCTTCACCAGAATCTCTGCCACGAGTCTGACACGTTGTTGTATGCTGAAGGGTTAATACTGTTTGAAATAACGATGGTTACGTTGCACGTACAACGGAAGTTGGATTTATTGGGAAAAATTGTGTATCACCGGTGGTTTAGATAGGGCAAGCTCGATAATTCTCAGCTGTACGTGTCGTAATTTCTTCCACTTATCGGTGTTCACGTTTAGGAGAATTCAATTCGAGCAGGTTCATTTACTTGCCTCTTCAAAACACGTGAAAAGAAAATTGGAAGTTAAATGTTCCTTTATTTTCTTATAAAAATAATTGAATACTAGACTCTGAAAAGCTGTAAGCGCCACTGGCTGTGTTTTTCTATTGATTAACGAGGCTCTGAAATATTATAAATTTTCTGTATTCCGTTGATAACATTTAGGTAACTAAAAACTTTTCATTTTAATAGATACACTACCGGCCAAAAGTTTGGAATCACTGGGCATTGCAATTTACAACAAAAATTTCCAGAAAAAAAAGTCAGCGACCTTGAGAATTTTTTTATCGTTCGAATCAATTGATATGAGATATATTGATAAAAGTAGAACTGCGATAAACTTAAAATCTATAAAAAATTAGCAGCAGATTTAATATTGATGAAAAGTGGGAGGTGATTCGAAACTTTTTGCCGGTAGTGTATAGTCTTCTCTATATCCAATCTTCAATTACATTTCTTAACAACCGTAGAGAAAATTCATTTGGTTTCTTCAAATATCGAGTGCATTTTTTAAATCACTTCTCCCTGACCATAATTGTGCTCTAAATCGTTCAACAGCTGTGTTTGAAGAAGGCGCTTTATCGACACGTCCAGTATGAGTCTTTTGATACCAAGAACTCGTTAGAACCTCAACGAATCGAGTATTAATAATGAATAATCAAATTTCGTCGTACTAAATGAAGCTTCGCGATAAAAAAAGAAAAAGATAAATCGCCGAGTCATTAAATATTCAATGTATACTAATTTGTTCGCTGCAACCGGAAGAGAGAGAAGACCGAAGTAATTATTCATTTCCCACCTATCAGGAAGTAATACGTTTAATCAAAGTTCGATCGCTGCGACGACTTTCTATTGTCGTAAAATGACAAGTATCGCGTGGAAGATGATTCCATGGTAATGTGTGCAATTACGAAAAGGGATTTCATTCTTGCGGCGGAAGTAAAAGGGAAAGCAACGAGATTGCTAGGAAACGCGATCAGACGATAAGGATGCCTTTCTTATGGAAATTAAAAGGCTTCCTATTGAACAAAAAAGCGTAGTTTCATTGAATGCAAGGGAATTATATGTATGATAAATATGTATATTTTAATTATATATATTTAAAAAATAAAAATTTATTAATACAATTTTAATAACACACAAAAAAAAAAAGAAGAAAGTACGTGGAACATTTCACTCGATTCTTTTCTGCTCCAAATTAAAGTTTGTAAACGAAATCTTTTATTCGTGAAACCCGCCGCGTGTTTCGTTTTTCGTATTCGAATTTAAAATACATTTCAGGGTAAACACTCTGAGCAATTTTTTTTCTTTTCGCAAATCAATTTTTGATAAAACGCGTATACACAATCGGTTGTGTTTACGTGCACAAAATGCGCGCGATAACATCTCAATGAGACTTTTTATTCAGATTTCTTAATGGTTTTTTTTTCCTTGGAAAGTCGCTTTATTTGTATTATTCTTCTTTACCCACAGAGTCACGGCTGCATAAACGATCGCTTCAATTTGCATATTTCTTTTATATTCAGATTTGGAAAATCCAACGAATCACGGGATCAACAGAAACAGCTTAACCCTCTGAGAATTGTTGATCGCAATCTACAAGCGTTATCAGAAGCTGTTATTTTTTTCCTTCTATTTTCACGGCGAAGGTTCATTTATCTCTATGGGTTCATTCAGTTGATACGATATCGAAATTATTATTCCGTTACTTTACCCCGTTGCAGCCAAATAATTCGCATCAATAAAACAAACGTGATTCATCAGAGTTCGAGACATATTTCGCGACGCGGCGAGATAATGTGTCGTGTGTTAGTCACCATCTCTCGATAAATGTGATGCAGACAGGCCGGTTAAGGCTTTTGCTCGTGAGGTCATAACCAAGACCAGAGCAAGGGTAATTATGCAACGCCTAAAATGGAAGAACAATGTTGATGGTCAGATTATATCACAGCGATTTTATACAATCTTATTCCTATCCGCGAAGTTTCCTGTAACTCGTTCAAGATCTCGGTGAGTGTTCATTGAAGACGAAATTGCAAACTCGCCGGTCCGAGGATAGTTGATTCTTCGACACGCGAGCGTGAACGTAATTTTAAACCGTCCATTAGTATGGCACGAACGAGCACGATTAATTAAACGCTGCCTTATACTTTTTTGTTATCGCGAAATCCTATTCTTCAGACGTATTTACTTGAAGAAAAAACATACACACACATACATACACGTTTGAAAAAGTGATTTGAATAAATTGTACTCCTCTTTTGCATTCGTACTTGTGTGAATGAAAATACGCTTCATCGTTCTCAGTCCTCTTTATAAATGTTTGAAAATTGATTGAACGAGACAGTGTGTTACTGCTATATACATTATGTGATGGCCATTTTGTAAACACTTGTTACTGATAACCTAAAATGTAAAATAACTGTCACATAATTATATCGTCAAATATGTGTTAGAATAATTTTATCGACAATTTAAAAGTACGTTTTTACGCGTGTATTATCTGTAAGATGTAAATACCAGAGGAGATAAATGGTGACATCACACACCGACCGGCTGGCAGTTACATTTTCTACAAGACGTATCTCGTGACACAATTAGACAGATTGATAGGGTCATTGTCTATTAGTGAAAAGTAGACCATACCCGTGCTCAAGTATTAACGTAACGCCTTTGGCTTCCAATCGTTCTCCTAGGCGGCTTTCGCGAATTTTCGGTCCTATCGATCGGTAAAACGTTTCCGGAATATTTCATCATCGACAATTTCCTAACCGTACAATCGCTCGATCTTTTCGTTAAATTCGCCACGTGTAGTAGATTTTCATATATATACTATTCTATACGTACGCGAACAATATCCGGCGTCAGAGGCTAACATAACCTCACTATTCTATTGTACGCACCATGCAGCGAGTAACTCGAAATTTTTCCGCGTGAAACATACGAGATAATACGTGGTGAGAAGAAATCATTAGGAAACTTACGGTTCTGCGATAACAGGAGCGATTTTCAGAACTGTCGAAAGGAATGACTGATCTTGACACAGGATCAATGGCTTCCTAGGTGCACTGTTTACATTCAATATCCTGAACAAGATGCATAGGATCACGGCGACCAAGGCCAGCAGTGCCGTGGACATGTTTCCCCTTTTCTCTGCTGTGCCACAAAAATTCGGTTCCCTTTTGCGATTTCACGTCGATATCGTGTAGTTATATCGACGCTCGAAAAGGACCGTGCGATTTAGTGGCAGTTCGCGTGGAACTGCACGCAGTTGTAATGCACTGAAGAATTAACTGAAGGACTACTTTTCCTCTTGGATTGACAATGCTCAAAAACGTATTACTCGCGACAAGGATCGTACGCGACTGTATTACGCGTTTGTTTTACCGGCACTTCTTGACGGTCGATTTGCGCGTGCCTATCAATAGTTAGGTACGCGGAACCTCCATCTATCCGTGTCGCTAGAAACTCCGATACGAATTAAGGCAGGCCAAACCTGGCGGACAGGCGACCAAACAGAGGTGAAATTTTTAGACAGCTCCGTCTCTCTCAGGTATAAACGGTCGAAGAGCTGTAGCTCGAATGCAGGCCATGAAACACAGCCGGTGCTGTCGGATCGCACTTACTACTGGTATTCAGCAGAATCCGCTAGCATTATCGGACCACTTTTCTCTCTCTTTCTTTCGCCGGTCAATTACTACAATATGGTCGGCTTAAATGTATTTGCACGTCCAATGATTTCCTTAGCCTACTGGAAATACGATAGCAAGGAAAAAAATTAGCTTTGACGTTATTTACGAGATTATTTTGCAAAAGATTTCAGTGCCGTCTTAGTCTTCTGTAAATCGACCGATGTTATTTTGACAAACCTGTTTTATTCAGCAGGTTTTTGGAGTTCACGCTGAAGCTAATTCATGCAGGAAATATGTTTGTGAGAAATTTTAAACGAATGCTAATGTCTGTCACTAAATTATGTAATTTTTTCGATTTTTAATAATGGCGTGTGCTGCGCTTAAATTCGACATAAGATACGTAGCAATATTAATTGTATTTCGAATATCGTGAATCTACCTTATTTTAGAATTTTCACTTGAAAATATATCACTGTAGTGAACAAAGAATAGAACGATCAAACGAATGAATTTTCACAATTGTACCAATTACATTTGTATGTTTTTTTTACGGTGTTGCAATGAGCACGTATGTACTTGGACAGGGGAGTAGACCGTTCTCTTATGGCGAAGTAATTATACCCACGTCCTCAAATCGGAATACGGTTGGATTTTTTCCGAGGCTATGTACATTTCGCGAGGGAAATAGTAAAATATCATGTCACTGACCCACGATTTCACTTCGGCACTCCACGGGAATCTTGAGACGTTGTTAAGGTCAAGGTCATTCGATCTTCCTACTGGATCGATATTTCGATAATTAATCGACGGTTGAAACGACTTCTGTTTTATGGGTCGATATTTAAAAATGCGATTGTTGTGCAGTTTTGAAGATTACATCGTGCGCAGTGTTCGTTCCTCGTCGTTCTTTGCATTTTACTTTAATTTGTTTAAATATTTGTAAATGTATCACGGAAAGTTTGTGTTTTTTTTTTCGTTTCTACTGTGTTGAGTGTTTTTGAAAAAAGTTGATGAATATTACTTCGACGAATCAAGGTATGCGAGATTATTGAAAGTGAGTGCATGGCGTCTCATAATTGAACAATTCACGAGAAATCGGACATTGAACTTTAATTCGATTCAAAGAAAACTACTGCACCGTAATACCGTGAGAAAACAATTGCCTTGATTGCATTTACGTAATAACCCCGGGATATTTATAATTCAAATTGGTAAAACGTTAAAATTATTGATGTAACCGATGTCATGGCAACCATTATTGAAATAACCGACTACGTAGTAACGATTCATATACATATAAGCAGAGTGATATAATAGTTCGATGATTTTCATCGTGAATGACACCGGTCATAAATATTTCACAGTCGCGTTCGCATAATTAAAACGCGATTCATTTTAATCTATAAAACAGTTCGTATTGTTTGTCTAATTGAGAAAAAGAAAAAAAATGCGCGGGAAGGGTAAAAAAAAAGTAGTTCGAAACAACGGTAAAAATGGAAAAGGTAAAAACGGTAAAAATGGAAAGAATAACGGTGGCAAGAGTAAGGGAGCGAAGAGATCGAGAAAAAGTGGAGGAAGGGCAAAATTTACTATGGATATATTTAACGAAGAAGTCATGGAAAATGCGTATTACACTTGTCACAATGTTATGGATGTATTGAAGTGCAGGGGATTCCCTTGGCCTGATGCTCAAAAGAAGAAGAAAAGGAAGGGGAGGAAGTGAACAGGAACTTCCAATGTAATTAGATGCTTCTAATAACAAGGTATTGAAAAAAATATATATTTTTTTCATTCAAAATATAACGTTGACGTACGCATTCTGGCACTGTGTAATATTTAGAAATAACAAAATACTTTAACAATTAGTCATCCTCATCACTCTCCTTTTCCAATGTTTTAAGAACGGTTTTGCAGTATTCCTCCGTATCAAATTCCGTGTGATTGATCATAAATGGTCCGTTGAATACGCAATGCACCGTTACTGTTTCTGAGTACTGTAAGTCAGGTAATAGCTGCAGGAATATAAATTCGAACTCATCAATCAAGTAATTGCTAAAAAAGAATAGAGAAAGGTAAATATAGACTACCTTTGGCGTGAGTAAAAAATACTGAGAACTATCCGATCTTTCTGTCATTTTTACAAGTAAATTAAATACCCTCCTTTCATTTATTGCGTCCATACCCTACGATAAACATAGGTTGTTAAAAACCACAGATAATCTTGAAACAAGATTTTGTTAGAACTACCTGATTAATTTCATCTACACATCGGAAAGGTACTGTTGATAGTTCTTGAAGAGAAATCATGTAAATGGCAGTAGTAACGGCTCTTTCTCCACCACTTTGGTGATGTCTCGTTAATTCTTGTAACTGATCAGCATCTCTGAATTTCACCTTAATTTTTAGGCCATACTGATCAAAGTCCATCTACAAGCATTAGACTTTCTATGAGTACTTAAATTGTAATCGTACGACCTAGTTTTTATTTCACGATGACTCACATTATTTTCCGGTTGCGCCAATGTAACTTCACCGGCACAATCCATCGCTGAGAAGTACATACTGAAATTCGAATTAATTTTTTCAATAGTATTCGACAAAGGTGTTAACCATTCCTCTTTCAACGTTTCTATATTTCGTCCAATCGTTTCTATGTCATGCGTTGTTTTCTGTATGAAATCCTTCAAGTGATGAATATCTTTTTCTACTTCCTCGTATTCACGCAATACCTGAAATTAGAATGATTGGCAATCGATTAATATTTTGTTGGATAAGTTAATTTTGTTTTTTTTTTTTTTTCGTTTTTACAAGCCTTACATTTTCACCATCTACATTGTTTGCCATGCAAAACACTTTTGCTTGCGCGATATTCAGTTCATTGTTAATTTCTTCTATGGTGGGTGGTAACTTGATGAATACTTTATTTATGGGTTCAAAACCTTTCTCAGATGGATTAATACCATTGGTAGTTTCTAATGCTTCATTGTACATTTTTTGTACTTCGGTTTTCATTGGCTGTAATTCCTGGCTAAGTTGTTTCACTTTGCCTTCCGCTGCTTTAAGTTTCTCTCTTAAATCCTGCGAATCGTTTATTTTTATTCTCAACGATCGTTTTTTCATCTTTAACGCCAATTCGCTTTCCTCACTAGCTGTAATGTTCGCAAAACTCTCTTCCAATTCTGCGTTGTATGCTCTATAAATCTTGAACTGTCTATCTAAAATCATCTACAAAATTTATACATAAATATTAACCGTTTGTATAATATACATAGTTTGACATTTTACAATGTTTGATTTTGAACGAAACCTTTATATTATTTGTACTAGATTCTTTTATTTTGTCAATACTGGTTCGTTCGTTCTGCAAACTCGAGATTTTTTTCTCAACCATAGATATTCTAGATTTTAGTGTTTGTATTTTTTGCAGATCTTGTTGGTACTTGTTTCTATCGACTCTGTATTTCTCTAACTCCGTGTTTTGTTCGTATATTTCCTCGTCTGTTTTCTTTAATTTGTTGAGCGCGTTGCTCTTCCTCTCCTGTAATTCTCCCAACCTATAAACACATTCTGATTATAATTTATTCGTATTATTGTTTCAGAATGTAGAAATATTAACACAAATATTAACAAACTTTTGTTCAATGTTTATCAGTTTTCTTTTATTTATTACAATAGATAACATTCCTGAACTCGATACTGGTTGCATTCTAATAGACTTTTCACCCGTGTACTTTGATCTATTTACTACATACACGCTATTTCCTAAAAGCATACGAAGAAAAAAAATAGTATCGTCCATATAATTTATTATTAAACAAAAATGTAGCAATGCGTACTGATTTACTTACGACTAAAATAGCAACGTATATTGTTAGGTATATGATCAATGTTATCATCGACATGATTGGTTCCTATGGGTATATTATTTAAATCATACATGCCTACTAAATATTTCATAATGGTACTCGGTGCTTCGATTAGCGATACTAAATAGTGAGTAAAACCAAATTGTTCGATACGTTCCAATGGAACGTTCGGCTCCATAGGAACCTGTTTTGTAGGATCAGAATGTACGGCGTTTACTTGTAATTTCTGTTCGTCTCTCAAGTAAGATAGTAGCATATTCATATCTCTTTTATCTTCGCAAACGAATGCTATTAAATCGCGGAATGCAATGATATTTTCTAAATATTTTGCGTATGATGCGTCTTTTACATTTATGTTAAGCAATATTGGTTCGTGTACTATGCCGGAAAATTTGTTACGATTTTCCCTTAACCATTGTACTGCTTTATATGTATCTTGACTTTTCTCTCTAAGCAATTGTAATCGTTTGGTTTCAACATTATGAAATTGTAGCTCTGCTTCTTGGGCTGTAAATTTTGTTGTACTGTAAATAAACAATATAAAAAGAAGTACGCAAGCAATTTAAAAAATTCACCTCTGATTTCAAGATTTAAGCTCTCCTGTTCCTGTTTTAATCCTAAGCTTTTACTTGTTAGCATGTTAATGATATTTCTCTTGTTTTCTATGTTTGATAATATTTCTTGCCGTTGTTTCGTTAAAGTTTCCTCTGTAAAATATAACATATTCTAAATGTTTCGTAATACTTCGAAGTAATATTAGTATAATCGAAATAGAACAAACCAGATCCAATATCTTTCAACATTAATAATAAATCATTATCAAGTTTGTTTTTTTGCTGTTGTGCAAGGTCAATATCGTGATCTCGGGCTTCTTCTATTTGAATCCTTTGCTTGCACCCGTTTTCGGATTCTCTAATATTATTTTCACACTCTAAAATATCGTCCATCATCTTTTTAAGTTTCGTAGTTTTGATTTTAATTTTATAATTCTAAAATTATAGAATACATAGAATATGTTACAATTTTATAATTTAAAATATACGATCTTACATGATCTGTTATGGAGTTTTTGAGTAAATGGATTTCTGATTTTATTCTTTCTATTGCTTCATTAGTAGGTTTCAATTCTGCATCTAAAGATACCATTTCTGCTGCTGCACTTTCTTTTTTCTTTTTTAACTGTAAGCATAGATAATTATAAAAACTGTAACATTAGGTTACAATAATACATTTTTTTACATTTACCTTAAGTAAATGTCTACGTTTTGTGTCATACAGTATCCATGCCTTTTTCTGCTTCAAGGCAATAATTTTTTTCTTTATTAATTTCCTTTCCTTGATACTCTTAACACTTTCTTGCAAACCTTCATATATCTGAGTTTTTAATACTAATAGTTTTTTCTTAGTTTCAATCTGTTTTTCTAGATCTTTATGTTCTGCTCTATACTGTATCAAATTTTTATGATTTTCTAATACTATAGGATCACCAACTGATCTTTCTGTATTTTCTAACAATTCTTGTGCATTCATTTTGGAAAAGTCTTGTACTTTATCTTGTGGAAGGAATTGACAAAGATTATCCACCTAAAAGCAAAAATGCATTAAAAAGAATTTTTTGTATTAAAACAATGCCTCTTATATATAAATACCTGAATATTCAAACTTTTTGTTAACTCTTGTACTTCTTTACTATTTGAGAGTCTATCATCAAGAAACCATCGAGTATTTCCAAGTATATTAAATTCTCTTCGAATGACAATATCATTCTTTTTTCCATTGGTAAGATGAATTTCAATCTTTGCTTCTTCACATCCTACCTTTACATAATCCGCAACATGAGTGGCACGACCAATTGTGGTAGGTTTACCTCCCAAACCAAGAACAATGGCACAAACAATTGTTGATTTGCCAGTGCCATTAGGACCAATAATAACATTTAAATTCCTACCAGGCTTTATGGTAACTTTATTATAAGTTCTATAACAGAACAGATACTTCTTACATATTTAAATAACTACATCTCATAAAAATAAAAAAAAATCTTACAAAAATACTTACACAAAATTTTCTAAATAGATATAAGTAATAATTCCTTTTTGAATGCAATTGTAACTCATGATGCTACTTTGTACAGTTCTTTAAAATAAATAACATTCATTCGTTACAAAGATATGCATGTTTAAATAATCATTGTAGACCGTTTTATAATACCATCATGCAAAATAGTATAAATACTGAAATAAAACAATTTTAATTCATAATGTTCTACTAATCGTATACTTGTACTTCAGGTTGTAGGATAGTATCCTGGCAGTACGTAAACATAACCTATACGAACAAGTGCAATGCGTAGCAAGAAATATACGTATCTATAGAGATACACCTTACAGTTACAAAGTTTGAATATGCAATAATTGGTTATCGTTAGGGTTACATAGATTATTAAAAAATATACAGGTTATGTAGAAAATTATAACTTATTCAAAAAAATGTTTTAAATAAAAAATTCTTATTTAAAACTACGTATGAATAATATCAATATGCATTAGCATTTACAGCAAATGGGATTGTGAAACAAACGTTGAACCAGACATGTTTAAAAATAAATCAATACAATTATTAAAATTTACATTTCGTCATTATTATGTCGACTTTGTACAAATATGATTATCTTCCATTGTAACCATACTTTTCTCTTATGGTTTTACTTATTTATTACAATGTTCTTGCTGTTGCCACTACACTTCTCGAACTACGTATTACCCTGGAGAATGAGGAAAAAAATTCAATGACAAACTATGATACCCCGATAAAAAAATGCTATATCTAGCAACAACAGCAATCATAGGAAGTTGATAAAATAACCTACGCATAGAGTAGGCTTCGACTGACGTCAAATGATACGCATTTAATTGAGAAAATAACGACAGTGTGCAGTTTGAGCGGGAATTTTTCTGCTACTATAATTGCAGTAGATAAATTAAATAAATTTTCATTTATAAATTGGCTTTTAACGATCTATCATATAAAGTATTTCTAATAATAGTTCACCGCTGTTTGAAAACACGAGATAACACAGCAGGTAAAATCGATAAAATAGTTTACTTCGAATTACTTTTATCGATCGATTTTAATCAAAATAACGATGCCATTATTGCATCGCCTGTAAGTTTTCCACGTTACGAAATTCTGTCATCCATTAGTGAATTAATGATCTTCTTCGTTTTAGATGCTCGCACGAGATCTGCATAAAAATGATTAAACGCCATTCAACGAATAATTCCTCATTCCACGTTCAATTCTTAACCTCCTTCGTAGTCTGAAATGTTTATCGTTCGGAACAGTTCGAAACACGTTCCCTAAAGGAAACGTAATTTCCATACCCTATTCGAAAAATTTGAAAAATTATAATAAAATTTAATTTATCATAATTT